TTATAAAATATATATTAAAAAAGAAAAAAATTTTATTTACTATCTGTGTAATATACAATTTAAAAAAAGATTGTTAATTTTTAGTAAATCCAGATTTTAGCAAAATTTTAGTGCTTTATTTTACATTTTTTGTATAATATATCTATACAAAAAAAATTTTACTAGGTCATTCTTTTTTTAATTTACTCTCAAATATATACACAAAAGATTTCATGAAGCAGAAACAATTAAAAAAATTGTTTACGCAACATTATAGAAAAACAAAGTTCGATGCACAAAATAGCCCCATCCCGGGAGTTATTGTGTTCACGACTTTCAATGACTATAACTAAGACAAAAAATTTTTTTCTTTGCAAAATTTATAGGAAACCTTCAAAAGGATGTCCACAACATATATCAAAAGTTGATTTTCTTTATTCTCTTAATTCTGAATTTAAATAAATCTTTGAATAAAAAAAAAGCTATTTGGTGCACAAAATAGCCCCGGTTGACGGTAACTTTAATAAATCAATTAAATAACGATCAAAAAAAATTTTTTAATAAAATTATTCAAAACAAAAATTCAATGATTTTTATCGATGGTCCTGGGGGAAGTGGTAAAACATTTTTATATAAAGCTTTAATTCATTATTATTTAGGAAAAGGTAAGCGGGTAGTATCAATGGCTTGGACAGGAATAGCGTCAATTTTACTTCCTGGTGGAATGACAAGCCACAGAACATTTAGATTACCTTTAGATTTATCAAATATAGAAACTACATTTTTAAAATTAAAAGCAGATAAAGAAAAATTACGAAAGTGTGATGTTATAATTTGGGATGAGGCTTCAATGATACCGAAAAAAGCTTTAGAAGTTGTTGATCAAACTTTAAGGGATGTCTGTAAATTAGAAGATTTACCTTTCGGCGGAAAATTAATTATTCTAGGGGGAGATTTTCGACAAATTTTACCGGTTGTTAAATATGGTGGTAGAATTAATATAATACAAGAATGTATTAAAAATTCACATTTGTGGAATAAATTTGAAATTATGAAATTAAAAATTAATATGAGATCTTCTAATTTAGATTTTGCAAAATTTTTGTTACAAATTGGAGAGGGTCAAATTGATCTATTACAAATTTCTAAAACATGGATAACAACAGACATTTGTAATAAAATATATGGCTCTGTAATTTTAGAAGATACTGATCTTTCTAATAAAGTAATTCTTTCAAGCCACAATGAAGACATTTATAAGCTGAATAATAAAATACTAAACGAAATTAAAAGTAAAAAAACAACGTATTATAGCATAGATTACGCGAAAAATAAAGGGATGGACCAAACAGACGATGACGTACAATTAAACTTTCCAATAGAATATTTAAATTCTTTAAAATTTCCAGGATTACCAGTTCATAAATTAAATTTAAAAGTTGAAGCAGTAGTAATGCTTATAAGAAATTTAAGTATTAATGATGGTCTTTGTAATGGAACAAGACTAAAAATTTTAAAATTGTTTAAATTTAATATAAAAGTTTCGATAATTACAAGAATAAAAGCAGGATGTACTGCTTTTATTCCTAGAATTACTTTAGACTCAGGTGAATTTTCTTCACTACCTTTTATTTTATACCGGAGACAATTTCCCATAGTTTTAGCATTCGCTATAACTATAAATAAATCACAAGGGCAAAGTTTTGAAGAAGTTGGAATTTATTTTCAGAAACCTCTATTTTCACATGGTCAATTGTATGTAGCACTTTCGAGATGTAAAAATAAAAACAAATTGTTTATAGAAATTGATTCTGAAGATTTTAAAGAAATAAAAAATATTGTATGGAAAGAAGTTTTTGAATAAAACATTTGAAATATTTCAAAAAACGATTAGTTGATTTAATATAAAAAATTATAAATGTGTCAATAATGAAAGTAAATGCCATTCACTGAAAATGAATTAAAATTTCAATTTATTAATGAGTTTTGTAACTTTAATTTTTTTTAAAAAGTTTTTATTATGTCGTTGTGTATATGAAGAAGTATTAAAAAAGAATTTCAGATTGGGAAAAATTTAGGTACCTTCCTGCTGATTCTGCTAAAATCTACAATGACAATCAGTAATTTTTACCTGTAGCCAAGGCTACGTACACTTTTTTAAATTTGAAATTACTTTTTTTAGTACTTTTTAACATATACAATGATATGTAAACACTTTTGATTAATTATATTTTAAAACTTATGAGAAAAACTTTTTTAATATCTTCCGATTTTAGATTTGAAAAAATTAAAAAATAAAATCAATGACTCTCACTATTAAATAATGAAAATGCGTCTAACTGAATAATTACAACTTGAATTTTTTTATTAATTTTACTATATTTACAATATAATTTTTATACTTTATTTAATATTTTTTAGTTTAGGTGAGATGCTAAATTGGTTTGTAACAAACTTAATTAAAAATTAAAGTTTATTATACCTCCTCGCGGTGCATCTTGGAAACAAATTCTTTAAAAGCTAAAAAAATAAAATATGTTTTAATACTTTGTTACTAAAAATTTTAATTAAATTTAATTATTCAACAAACATTAATTAAGTTAATAAATAAAAAATTTTAATTTTAATTTTAAAGAATTTGGCTAAAAACCAATTGTTGAAGTATTTTAAATAATTAAAAAAATTTAAATCAATGTATTTTTAGATAAAAACTTTAAACTGTAAATTTAATAACGGGGGGGTTGGTGCGCGAAGCGCGCATGGGGGCGCAGCCCCCCTAGTAGATATTAAATAGTTTAGAGCATTTTTAACTTGTTTTATTTAGAAAAAGTGACATTGTCACATATAATTTCTTATAATCTTTGAATTTAAAAGATTGTGACGTAACACATGAGTTCACCCCCCCTCCCCCATGTCACACTTAGTCACAATTCTCAGACCCACTCCCTCCCCCTAGCCGCGTGACGTATTATGTGTGCGGCCCCTAAGTAGAATGGTTATACTTAATCCAAAAAGTATTTCTCGGGGACTCTTGTCGAAGTGCGTAAGGCCAATAGGGCAGGAGTATAAACAATAAAAAAAAAATCACCCACCCTGCTATCAAAATCACCCCCCACAATAATTGGCAAATCAGGATGCTGCTCCGCTGCCAGATTAAGAACACTAATTAATTAATCCAAATAGATATAAAAATCATTATTCGGTGAGAAGTAAGACAAACACAAAATAAAATTAGTAAAACCAGATTTAATCATAACTAAAATGTGTGAATGAGCAATTAATAAGACTTCTACCTTATAAAGTTTTACATTATACAGCAGTAAGAGGCTTTCAACAGCTCTGCCAAAACGCTTATTCTTCACAGCCGGCGCAACAATCGACTTAAAATCAGACAAACCATGATATTTAAAGTTTTCATTAGTAGACCAAGTCTCACTGACAGCCAGAACATCACTGTCCACCAATAAATCATTTATGTCAGAAATATTGCGAAGGGCATGTAAAACGCAGAAAGTTATTCCAGAATAAAGTAAAGAAGTTAACAATGAATCCTCATCCAGAAAACCTCCCTTCAAGCAAATCTCCTGTGACTGCTAATCGTTATTTTGTGTCTCCATTTCACTTAAATTAATCTTTGGATAGAAGCTTGTGTGCACGACCAGCTGGATTTACACTTTTCTTCCTCTTGCGATTTAGTGATGGTGTTTATATAAAAAATACTAAACTTTAAAAAAACTTTTGTAAAATTTAGTATATTTATATCAAATATCAATAATATTAATTAAATTCTAATATAACTTTACTCACGAAAGTTTTTTTAAGGTAGTATTATAGTTTGTGTCGATCAAAAAATCGATTTTTTTTCCTTTACTTCCGTGTTCTAAATTATCTGAAGAATATAATTCCCAAATTCTAGATTAAAATTCGAAGAAATTTCTCTGCGCGCGGAAGCCAGTCGCGCGTAATATGGCGCTTTAAACGTGTTATTCTCAAAACGATGTTTTTCAAACTGGCGGACAGAATAACTCGAGTTCTTTTCAACCGATTTTAAAAAACCCTGAATAAAAATTCTTCATTATGAAAGCCTTCATGCATCCCCCCTAAAGCCGATTGTCTTTTTTTGTGAAAGTTAGGACATAAAGATGGGCTAAAAAAATCCCATTTTTTGTAGATTTTTTTTTTAAATTGTCGACATTTTTTTAATTTTAATATTTTTTATCCGGGTTAAGGGGGATGCCTAACCACATATCACAGCTTCAAAACCACCTTTAGTTTTTTCAGATCGGATGTCTAAATTTCTCTTTGTCGCGCTTTTTCCCCAATTTGTAAAATACTTTTACAAAATTTAATATATATAATTATTCTCTCTCCGTGTGGAATAATAATCATACTTATATGGCTGATTCTCCGTAAAGCAGGAATTTTTATGTATTTGCTTTATAACTTCTAAACATGTAATTATTAAATTATAAACAATAGACGAAAATATTATTTAAACATCCCTTAACTATAGCAAAATATAAAAACTGTAATTTTGTTTACAAATTTAGTGTAAAATAACATTAAAACTAAAATGCCAACCCCCTTACTCTTGTGTGGGGGTGAAAAGGGGGTGGCAGCGGGAAAATGGGCAATTTAAAAAATTTTTCATCGTCATATTCGGTTTCAGCGACCAAAAAGACGTGGGAATATAAGGTTCTGTCCTCTGGATCACGAAATTTTTTTTGTGTGCCTGTGTTATTGATCTTACAAAGAAAAAATAAAGTACCCTTAAGGTTGATACATCTAAAAAACGAGTAGTATTTCTCGTTCGAACCCAAGGGTCTCATTTGCCCTTCCAATAATGTTAGAAATATTCTGATCAAAATTTAAATCGTTAAAGTGTTTTACCTGGAAAGTTGAACATTGGTAATTAAGAAGTTGTGTTAGAAAAAATGGGAAAAACTTGTATTGTATACTAAATCAGGTGTCAATTGAATAAAATTTGCATCTAAAATTACTACACAATATTCTTTATTTTTAATAAAACATTTTGAATTTTTAAGTCTAGTATTATTTTTAGAAAAGCTAGAATAACTAATGTATCTGTTAGTTTTGTCTACTAGGCCTATTGTCTACTTTGAAAGATTAATACACTTTTGAACTTTAATTTTGGTGAAAATTTTAAGAAAATTGACAGCATTGATTTTGCAATTGAAGATAAACCATCAGTTATGATGAATGTTTTAGTATTGATTTTATACTTTTTCAATATTACTTTAACAGTAACTAAAATGAGGCAAATTATAAGTAAAATACAACAGAATAAAAACCCATAAACATCTAGAAGTTCAACTTGATACCAATACATATTCACTGCCGGAGATCGTAAAGATTCGCCTCCATTTCTTATTACATATTCAATCCAATAGACAGCTTCATTTCCGGGATTCATTGGTCGATCTAGAAATAATTTTGAATGATATTGGGCAGCTTTTCTGCAAATTAAAGAATTTTTAAATTTAATTTAATATATATTTTTCATACAACGTTAAAAAAGGTTAAATTAGAACAAGGTTTTACGTGCTGAAAAATCACGCTCAGTCCTACCCCTGGTCTGTCAGACCGCTATTCCCTTTTTACGGGTTTTTAGTAATTTATAATTTTCTAAAGACAACTATTATAAATATTTTTTATTTATTAACATAAAATAATCATTTCTATATTATTTTAATTCAATTCTTTTTCTTTTTTACATATGTTACAATACAAAATTTAATGAGTTTAAAAAAAAAATTTTTTTTAAAGTTGTCACCTAACAGATTTTTATAAAATATGAAGCTACTGAAAAGCTCAAGTTCTTATTATATATACTTTGAAAAAAAGTTATAAGCAAACAAAATTTAAAGTCTCGTTTACTTAAAGTTGCGTTTATCTGAACCCGTTTTAGGTTCACTTATTTTCAGTTAGGATCAGCCCTAACCCCACTTGTCTTAGCTCATGCACAGTACGCGACCAATGGAAAGATACTTTCATTCCCATTGGTTGAGTTTAAACAAAACCAGCCAATCATGTCAATTTATCGAATTACGTCACCAACATAAGTTATGCCTACCAAAGTACAAATAAACGCGACACTTACTGTCGAATTGCGTGAGCCATGTTTAAATAAGTGAGGTTTCAGTGTATTAGTTTAAAATTCTTAAAAGCACATTTTCAATGTAATGTGATGTATGTATATTTTAAAAAATTTACCTAAAACTTGAATCGTTTAACATTTTCGAAATGGCCATGTCCATACTATTTTCTGTGATTTTGTCATAATCTAATATAATACACATATTTTTATTTTCCAACAGACGCAAATTTTGATCTTGATCGTAAACAATCGGTATCCCAATAACAGGAATTCCAAAATAAAGAGCTTCTATAACACTATGAATACCGCCGTGTGAAATAAATACTCTCGTATTTCGATGTTCTGCAAAAAGTGAAAAATAATGTTAAATTTATTTAAAACTTGTTTATATTGTTCTTAGAAATATTATATCTACTTAGAATTGGTATTTGCGGTATCCAAATCATTGTTAGGACATTTTCCGGTATTTCTGGTGGTAATTTATTTTTCTTTGTTACTTTTATTAAAATTCTCATTGGTGCGAGTTTGGCGAATGAGGAAAACATTGATAAAAGAGTTTCTTTTGGAAGACTTTCGAGTGGTAATGCAGTTCCAAATGATATGTAGACAATTCCGTGAACACTTTCATCCATCCATTTCATGAGTTCCTTAAAAGGATAAATAAGTTATTAGTATGTCTCAGTTGGTAAAAAACCATTGTCGTTCTAAAAACGTTTCATGTCTACCAAATAATGTTCCAAAATATTTTAAGAGCATAGATATTCAAATAATCTTCTAGAATATTTTTTGGCAGACTAAAATATTCTAAAAATATTTTAAAAACCTTTTTGGGGATGAATATGGACATTCCAGTCATGATATCTCTGCTGTCCAAATTAAAAACCTAGTAACAGCTTTTTTCGTATGGTCGAAGTTCACTTAGATTTATAAACAAAACACGACCTTACAAAAAAAGGGTCTACTAGGTTTTTACTTTGTACAGCAGATCTTCTGAATAAAAAAGAAAAGAAAGATTTATGGCTAAGGAATTGGGCTTAAAATTTATTAAACTAATTGCTTGTAATCTTAAGAAAATTTTTCAAAAATAAAACCCCAGGTATATAATAATATTGGTAGCTTGATCGATCACTCCGAATCAGTCATGTTGGTTGTTGGTGAAACAAAAAAATGGTGGGAGTTCGTATAAACGGACAAAAAAAGCTAAAGTTGGCGTTACTGCTACTCATAAAAATTTACAAAAACATCACTTTGATTGGGATAATTTTTATATATTTGACATAGAATAAAATGAAAGCAAACGTCTAATATCTAAAATGATTCGTATTAATTTGCAAAAGAATGCAATAAACCAAAACGATGATACTCAAAACCTTAGTAATTGTTATCTTCATTTCCTTAATAAGTGAAAATATCAAGCTATTAATATTATGAAGTAATTATAGTTTAAATATATCGACGCCTCCCGTTCATATAATGCTTATTAAAAAGCTAATGCCATATAGTTCCTATTCAAGATTCTGGGCCATATAGTTCTTATTCGATGTTCCGGGGAATATAGTTCTTATTCAAGTTCAGGGTATTATAAGTCTTATTCAAGTTTTAGGGTAATAAAAGTCTTATTCAAGTTATAAGGTAATAAAAGTCTTATTCAAAATGTAATCCGATATAATTCTTATTCAAATTTCCTTGTATTATATTAAAAATTTATTTATAATACTTATTAATATTAATAATATTAATAATATTAATTTATTAATCATACAATTTTCTTTTATTTTTATATACTTTTTTCCCTTTATAACAGGTGGTTCACTTGAATTTTTGTCAATATTTGAATCAATAAAATATTAATTCTTACAGGTAATATGGGAATTTCATGATTAAAAATAGTACAAAATCATTTCATAATTGTAAGTTTGCAAAATCCAATATGCATAAACTACGCAAAGTAAATTTTGTTGATTTGATATCAATTAACAAAAACTACAAATCCATTATTCATTAATTGATAATTGCTCTTAATAATTGTTTCTGAATCCATATAAAATAAATTAAAAGAATAATTTTTTAATATTTTATTTTTGTCTTCGCAAAATTGACATAACCTAATTTATAAATTTATAAAAGGATCTAAAAGAAATTTTTTTTATGATTTCAAAAAATTAAATACATTTTGAAAATGAGTATAATTATAATGATTTGAAATTCAGTGTGTCATTCATATTAATCAAAAATAATATTTCGTTTATTTTTGTTTTTTGACAGTTGGTTCACAATAAAAAGTCACATTAATAATAATGACAATAAAATGTCACATTTATAAGAATGACAATAAAATGTCACATTAATTAATAAAGAAATAGATTTGCAACAAATTTTCAACAGATTATTCAACTGGTATGTGTTAAAAATATTCATTTCATATTTTTTGAATATTTAATAAGGTTAACTAAAATTTACAAAGTTATGGAATATTGTTTTATTAATTAATTAAAAATCAAGTAATGAAATAATTTTTCAAAAATTGTAATAGAGTAAAAAATTCACGTTTACTATTTTTCTGTGTAGATTTATAAGAATTAAGAATACAATCATTCAAGAAAATACTTAGATTTAAAATGGATCCAAGACCATCCACTTCAACCGGTAAATAATTTTAAATAAAATAAAAATAATAATAATAAATAAGTAAAAAATTAAAAATATTTAAAAAAATTTTTCAATTAATTAATTTCAATTCAGATTTCGCTGAAGAAATGAATGAATTAAAAAAAGTAAATAAGTAAATAAGTGAAAAGTAAAAATAAATAAGTGAACAAATAATAAATAAATAAAAAAATTTTTAAATTAATTTAATTCAATTCAGATTTCGCGAAAGAAATGAATAAATTAAGTGAAAAGTAAATAAGTAAAAAATAAAAGTAAATAAGTAAAAAATAATAAATAAATAAGTAAAAAATAATAAATAAATAAAAAAAATTTTAAATTAATTTAATTCAATTCAGATTTCGCTAAAGAAATGAATGAATTTAAAAAAAGTAAATAAGTAAATAAATAAGTAAAAAAATAATAAATAAATAAAAAAAATTTTTAATTAATTTAATTCAATTCAGATTTCGCTAAGGAAATGAATGAATTTAAAAAAAAATTAAATAAGTACATAAATAAGTAAAAAATAAAAATAAATAAGTAAAAATAAAAAAGTTTTGAAAATTAATTCAATTCAGATTTCGCTGAAAAAATGAATGAATTAAAAAAAAGTAAATAAGGAAAAAATAATAAATAAATAAAAATTTTTTTTAATTAATTCAATTCAATTCAGATTTCGCTGAAAAAATGAATGAATTTAAAAAAAGTAAATATGTAAATAAATAAGTAAAAAATAAAAATAAATAAGTAAAAAATAAAAAAAATTTAATTTTAATTCAATTCAATTCAGATTTCGCTGAAAAAATGAATGAATTAAAAAAAAAGTAAATAAGGAAAAAATAATAAATAAATAAAAAAATTTTTTAATTAATTCAATTCAATTCAGATTTTGCTGAAAAAAATGAATGAATTTAAAAAAAAGTAAATATGTAAATAAATAAGTAAAAAATAAAAAAATTTTAATTTTAATTCAATTCAATTCAGATTTTGCTGAAGAAATGAATGAATTGAAAAAAGTAAATAAGTAAAAAATAATAATTAAATAAAAAAATTTTTTAATTAATTTACTTCAATTCAATTCAGATTTCGCTGAAGAAATGAATGAGTTATTTGATATGGATTCGAGAAACATCATAACCAAGGGCAAGGATACATTCCTGACTTCAAAAAGCAATGAAAATGAAATACCTGTAATTGATATGAGCAATTTATTTCCAATTGATGAATTCGATCCTTTCAAATCAAATATGTCTAATTTTGCAAACGGGGATGTTTTTAATGCTACTGATTTTGTAAATAACGATAATGACATGGAGAATGATACGGACTGTTGGAACGATATTTCAGGGGTGCAGGAAGAAGTTTTTGAATCTTCAGATGAAGATATAGAAGTTGCTAACGATCATGGAGAATCAACTAATTCAAATATTGACATAAGTTCAAGTGAATCTATGGATAAAGGAGAGAAAAGACCAAGCGAAGAACCAGTCAAACAATTGTCAAGAAAAAGATTATGCAATACTGAGAAATGGAAAAAAAATATTTTAAAAAAATCAGCTAATCAAGGATTAGAATATACTTCACGTTCAACAAAAAAAATTGTTTCAGCTCGATCTATTCAAAGAACGTGTGGCTCTGAATGTAGATTCCAGTGTGAAAAAAAAATCTCTGAAGCTGCAAGAAAAAAATTTTTTGATGAATACTGGAGTATAGCGGATCATTCTCGAAAATATGATTTTATTCTAAGACACGTCTCGGAAAGCAATAATCTAGATAATTCAAATAGAAGTGAAAGAGTTCATCGCAAAATATATAGCATTAATGAAAGAGATAAGAAAATAATCGTGTGTCAAACAAAGTTCCTAAATACATTAAATATAAGTAAATCAACTGTTAATACAGCACTAAGGAAATTTCGAAATAATGACCCAATTCTAATCGACAAGCGAGGAATGTCAAAATTAAGACCTAGAGCTATTGATGAAGAAGTCACAGCAAGTGTGATGGAGCATATTAATTTTTTCCCTAGAATTGACTCTCATTATGCTAGAAATGATTCAACTCGCGAGTATTTGGAAGAAACGTTAAGCTTAAGCAAAATGTATAATATGTATGTTACTTACATGACTGAAGAAAAGAAACCAATGGCCACAAAGCATCATTACTACGATGTTTTTAATACAAAATTTAATATTGGTTTCTTCAAACCAAAAAAGGACCAATGTGATCATTGTGAAAAATTTAAAAATGCTTCAGTTGAGGATAAAAGAAAATTATCAGATGTGTACAATATTCACATTAAAAACAAGGAAAACTCGACGAAATTAAAAGAAGAAGAAAAAGTAATGATTAAAAATAATAAACATGCATGTATGGCCACGTTTGATTTTGAAAAGGTTTTGTCGACACCAAAAACAGAAGCGAGCTCATTATACTACAAACGTAAACTTTCAATTTATAATTTCACTTTATACGACATTGGACAACACGCAGGTCACTGCTATGTTTGGAATGAAAACGACGCACGGAAAGGATCTAATGAAGTGGCTAGTTGCCTATACCATTACATTGAGAAAAGAGTATCGGAAGGAATCACGGACTTTTATTTCTGGTCTGACAATTGTGCGGGACAAAACAGGAATAGGAATGTTTTCTCAATGTATGTTTACGCTTCTTCAAAATTTAATATCAATATTCGACATTCATTTCTTGAAGTAGGGCATACGCAAAATGAAGGAGACTCTGTTCACGCTTTGATAGAGAGACACTCCAAAGGAAAAAAGATTTACAATCTTAGCGAATGGTGTGATATTATTACAAGTGCTAAATTAACGGAGCCGAAATATCAAGTCATACCAGTGAATTACAATATGATTTTTGACTTCAAGGACTTGTCATCTCAGATGAACTGGATGAAAATTGTATTAAAAAACAATAAGAAACAAACATGTCAATTGCAAATTTCTAAAGTAAAGCAAGTGTCAGATTCTAAAGAATA